CCCCCCGCGGCCCCGCCGCCCCGCCGTGCCCCGGTGCCGAGCGGCCCCGAGCGGGCCCCACCTGCCGCCGCCACAGCGCCATCGCCGGCCGCCTGCTGCCCCCTGCCGGCCGCGCCCGCCGCCACAGAGCGCGCGGGGAGCGGCGCCTCACGGCCAGGGCAGGCCCGCCGCGGCCGCGCTTTTCCTGACGGTTCTCTGCAAAAGAGGCTTAAAGGGCAGAATAATTTGTTCAAGCAACAGCCACCTGATGCCAGCTATTGGTTTTGGGGGGCCCTCTTAGCGGGAAGCCACGTCATGCAAGAGAAGAGGCTGGGCAGTGCCGTACAGCAGGTTACCGGGAAGGCAGCGGCCAATGGAGCCACATCCGAGCTGACAGGCATCAGAAATTCATTGTCAAAGCCCTACACGCTCCCTGGTCAAACCTTGTTGGCAGAAAACATAGAAAGATCAGGCCGTTTTCATTACCTTAGGCAAAATCAGTGAAGTTCTGCTTACTGATGCAAACACTGCCAGTGTTTTGAACCTGATCAGATGTCATGTTTTGAAGTTATCACATACCAGATAGATGAACAAAGAAAGGACACCAAAGCTACAGCTGTCCAAAGTTGGCAAAACAGAGCAACAAGAAATACACCACACGACCTTTTCATTGACATAGTCAAAAATAAACAATGGGATCTGGCCATGTTTTGATTTTGTAACAGTATTTGTTTGTTGATGCCCTTTATATTCCTCACTCCATGACAAGTTCACAGACAATTGAAAAGATTGTCCCAGCATTCTCTAAGTGTTTGTACAGGAGCATGGAATGAAGATTGCTTGGGCACAGACAGGCAGCACAGGGTAGAGAGAGCCAGTTAAGTAATTTCAGGGTTAACATGTATATTTCTGTAAATTTCCATCTCACTAATGAAGAAGACTGCAGATTTTGCTTTCTCTCATTTTCAGTCTTTTTTTTTTTTTTTGACCTGACAGAGGAAATGGATTCATAATATTCTGCTGTAATGTGACATGCAGAGCTGTCAAACTGTGACACTTGGGATGAGTGAGAGATTTAAACGTCAGAAATTCAATTTTTAATGGCACACTGGCAACATAGTCCTAACACTTCATCACAAGGATGACACCTTCTAAAAGCCATTTTAAAATAAATCAGAGTGGGGATGTGCTCCTTCGAAAAAAGAATGCATTTAAACAAGTTTCAGGAATGAGGAAACTGTATGACAGTTTCATTATTAGATCAATAAAATTCAGGAGATTTTGGTGAGAAGGGATTCCAGTGTGTGTGGAGATCCAGCTCAAACCCACACAATCTGGAGCTGCTTAAGTGACCTTCATCCACTTCTTGGTGTACAAACCACATTCCTCTTACATTTCAAAGCAATTCAGTTTGCAAAAGCCCTCAGAGACCTTTAGCCCAAGGGCTTGTTGGCATTCCCAGATGGAGAATGGGACTGCACTTACCATTCCAGGGGGTCCTGGTGTGCAGCCACCCTCAGAGGGCTCCCCACAAGACGTGGCACGCGTGTCCTTCTGCTCTTCCAGACGGGCAGGGACTGACTGGAGTTCTTCTTCCACCACCTGGGAAGATGCCAATGCTCAGTCTTTGGTGCCCAGGCCAAGGTGGGCTCTCACCAAGGACAAGAGCAGCTCTGCCAAGCAGAGTGAGGAATGAGGTCTTAGAGATTTTGGGGGCACTGATGGACCCAGCCTTGGGAGCTGCTTCCAGAGTCAGCATCACACTGGTTACTTTGTGATAGCAAATCGAGTCATGGCTTAAAACATGCAAGCAAATATTTAATAAATAATTTACCATGGAAGGGATTGCCTTGGACATTAGGACAATAACCCAGTAAAAACAATGAATATGAAAGGAAATTAATTAATTTGTGAAAAAAGGATGAATTAAGAAAAAGAAAATAAAGAACAGAAACAATACTCGGGGTTCAGTCCAGTGGTCCCTAAACACCTCCATACAACAGAAAACCACTTAATGCAGTGCTGTAGTTTCTGGTTTGGTTTTTTTTTTTTGTGGTTTGTTGGGTTTTTTGGTTTTTTGGGGTTTTTTTTTTGGGGGGGGGGGGGGTTGGGTTTATTTGTAAATTTGCAAAACTAAATCAACTGTCAATTAAGTCAGACTGGCTTATTCTCTCTCACATGATTGGGTTTTAATTAAAATTTTACTTAGACAGCAAATCAGGAAACAAATATGTTCTGTTTCAGATTGCAATGACAAAGTCTTCACACTTTGTGATGAAATGGTTGTCAATAAAATGAAGAACAACCAAGTGACTCTGTTTCTTGTTTCAGTCTTAGAATTTAAGCTAGTATACAGCCAATATCAAAATTGTTCCTGGAGGGTTTAATTTTTTATATTTGGTGCAATCTGAATGTATAATTTGAAGATAGACCTTTGTTACATTTAGAAGTCTCAATTTCTCCACCCATCCCCAACAAGTGGTATTATCTATAGATAAGGATACAGACCTGGCTTATACAAACACCATCAGGGAACAGGACCTGTGGTGGCCAGACAGGGTGAAAAGACAAAGCTGCAATGTAGAAGACAATAGAGATGTAATTAAGGCATTCCTGGGTTTCTCAGTCAGAGTTTTCTGGTCTATGTTACTGTGTACCTGTTGTCTAAAGGAAATTATAAAACTAGAGGATGAGGTGGAACTCTTTGTATCTCAGAACGTCTTTTGGGCAATTTAGCTGTGCCAGAGCACATATGGACACACCACTGGAACGGGCAGTGGATGCAGCAACTCCAACAAGGCTCCAAGCAAGAGCTCTTCGTTCTCGCTACTTCTAATCCGTGAACATTTCTTATGCTCCTGAGTGAGCTCCAGAAAGCACTGTCACACACAGGAACTGAGTCACATCACTCTATCAGACACTTCCAATGATTCCTCTCAAGATCAACTGCAAATTCTACCCCAAAATTATTTCAATATGACCCATAAGTTCTTTTATATATAACTTTTTCTCTCAGCTGTTCCACTACCATTTAGCAAGGATATTCCTGGTTCCTCATACAAATTCAGTATTGATTGAGAGATCCCACTCCTCTGTACCCTTTGCCTCCTGCTTCAGTAAATGTCTCTTCCTCTTTCTTGTGTGCTTTATAAATTGCTTTTGGAAGAAAAGTAGAGATTGAATAAAAACTTCCCCTAAGTTATTTTTCAGCTCAGACTTCCACTTAGGAAATCTGAACTTCATTTTCTGATCTATACATTAAAGCTTCAACCTCAGGTGTTCTATTTTAATTGCCTGCTATTTTCATTACCGACCATGAGGGCAGCAAATGCTCTTCAGGAGATACTTGTATTTTAATTTATCTGCAAACATAAATCACACATTATAGCACTTTTTTCCTCTAGGTTAATTGAATCAATTCTCTAAATGTCTCTATGCCTGACCATTGCAAAAGGCTCACTGGTTGAAATCTCTTTAAGAATTATGGCCCTTGAGCTGTGTGCAGGATGGGAGCAGTCCTTGCTCCAGACAAAGCTATGTTATACATAGGAAGTAAAAAGGTATTGTTATCCACCTAAGCAATATGACCTGTGCAGCAACACCCACAATGCTGTGAGGAGCCTCTAAAATATTATTTCAGAATTTTTCATGTATCTCAGTGAATCAATTGTTTTAGAATTATAAATCTTAGTAACAACTGAGCCTAGATATATCTTAAGTTATAAATAAACAGAATAAAATCTACTTCTACTTTCCTTATTTCTACATTACCTTTAACACCAGGAAAAATGCTGATATCAAGAACAATTATTTTATTACTGAATATTCAAAAATATCTAATGATGAAAACTCGATTTAACATTTTTCTTAATAAAAATTTGTTAAATTGATAATTTTTAGTAAAATGAGTCAAACAGATCATATTAGCCATTTTATATCCAGTAGAACTGTTAAATGCTGGCAAAATTAACAACTGGTAAATTTGCAAAATTTGCAAAAGGAAGAGGCCTAAAGAGCAGAATAA